TATATGAGAGCATATATTATAAAAATATAGGACTACGTTACTAAGATGGCTAGGATATTCAATGTTGGTAAATTATGATAATATCTTCACAATATTGTGCTTGATTCTTCGACAATAGGTCTCAACAGGTCGTTCAATACAACAATATTGTGCTTGATTCTTCGACAAAATTTTTTATAAAGATAAGAAGATAAATAGGAATATGAAAAGGAAGAGGAAGGGGGAGAGAATGTTGTAGTGTGTGCCTATTTTTATCTAAGAATTTGTTCTATTAAATTAAATCACTACCATTTGAATTAATTACAAAAAAATCATTTTCCTTCTCCCTCTTAATATCTGGATACATCACTCCACATCTATCAGATACATTGCAACTTTATTTGTGTACAATGTATCTGGTACAAAGTTATTGTTGATAAATAACTCCAATTATTTCAAACGTAAATATGTATGAATCTGGTTTATAGTTATATTTCTGATACATATCATTCGCTATGTATCGGGCGAAGAAACAATTGTGACAATCAAAAAATGGATGTGATGACACTCCTCTTAGCCCACCAAAACAAGTCAGCCTAAAATTATATATAACGATAAAATGCAGAAGTAAAATAAAAATGAAAGTTTTAGCACCAAAATAATAAAGCGAATAAAGAATTCAACTTAGTTTAACCCCCAAAATTTGATTGTCACATGCACAAGTCACTACTATATTGCAATACATTTGAAAGAAAAACATAAGTCTCAAATGACATTGTCTCTAAAGTAGAACAAGATAATAAATAAGAGTAAGTGGTCCGCTGAAATGACAAACACCTACCTCACAAATCTCCACAGGATGCCTTAGACAAGAAGAGAAGAGAGAGCATCATGAAGATCTGGGTTCATAACCTACACAAATGTAGAGCAATGAGTGAGCATTAAATAACACGGTACGCAACAAGCAAATTCCTAAACACAAAACAAAGAATATATAATACTGCCCGTCCCTTTTCAATCCATGATAACTATCACGAAATATTGAATCCTCATTCTAATCTAGGTAGTCCTCCACTTCGAGTCGAATAGTAAGTAAATCTGTACCCTAGTCTATTCTTTTCTTCCCCCGTAGCGGAGAAGGTTCTTTTGCTTCGAATCTTCGAGGCAAGCGAATGATAATCCTTGTGCTATAGTGCTTGACTCAGTCTCTACGTCAGTCCTAAATCCTTCTCTTAGCTTAGTCAATGTCGTCGTATGAAAAAAAGGAAAATCCTTCATCTTATTTGATCTTTTAAGCTCTTTCTCAGATAATGATGATAGGTGCTCCTTACACTTCAACCACATCTTCAAAACTACAACATGCATAAAATCAACTCAACCTAACAGTTCTCAATTTACATAACACATAGTTCAACAGCATCACTTCAACAATTACAGATTAACAACACACAAGATCAAGTTCATCAATCACAAGTTTCACGGAAAATTACTCACAAGTTAACAAATGATAAAGATGTGCAATGCAATGTCAAGTGTAGTGATGCATATCTGGCCTATTGATACTTACCCGCTGTCTCTCAGTCCGGAATCCATGGGGGACTTATCAGTCCATACACTCATCGCGGCGTGTGACACGACCCTCAATAATAAAATCTTTCATGGTGTGCAACACGTCCCTCGAATCATAATATTTTTCGAGGCATGCAACATGTCCCTCAAAATGATACATCCTTTTTAATTTCTTATTCTTCCTCAGTTCACACAACACTTGTTACAACCGTGTCTCAGAACTAATGCAAATAGACATGTTCCCACAAATAATGAGAAGATGACCATTTTTATATCAATGCACAATTCACAACAACACAATCGTGATACAACATCAACAATGAATCAATAAACCCTTCAAATCATTCTCAACACATCAGACATCGATATATAAATTAAGTTGCATTTTACTACCCCTTTTTCATCATTCGGATCATTCAACATGAACAAGTAAATTCATCACCAAGTCTCATTACTCCCCAACATATACAACATGGAAATACACGATTCTATACACTTAACAAGGATCGAGAAGTTCATTTGCCTCAAATGATCAAGAAATCACTCCGGGACTTGAGATTTCCCCTTTCGTTGGGCTTCCAAATCAATGCAGCCTATTCAAATGTACACTATTAGTAAGCAAGCAAGTCCGTAGACATCCATATTACTATACGTCTGCTAGTTTAGATCCAAAAACTAACCCAAATCTTTAATCAAGTTCTTCATCTTGATGCCAATTAACATGTCAACTCTCATATTTTTCAAATTTCAACCCTAAGGTTAAGTTCCAATTTTCTTTAAATTTCATAAGTCTAATAGTATTTACAAACTACAATATACCTAATATTTAATTATTATCTCCGTATATCAAACTTGAATCGTAATATAATAGCATAACCAAAATTCCAATATCAAAGCCATTTTAAGGCATTTGTAATATCAATCCGCAAGTAAATAAGATTATAGAACCTAAGACCATCTTATATTCCTATACATTATTGTTTTTTTTTCTATCTGTTGACTCAACATTTGACCATGATTGTCAGTAATTGCAGACCTTATCTGCTCCCCCAACAGAACGTTGCAGCAACAACATTTAATCCCAACTTTGCTAATATCCATTTTTTCTTTCTTTGCAATCTAATTAATATAGTAATAAAAGGATTTTCCATCTATCCATATATTTATCTATAGAAAGTTAACACTAGATACTAGTTGGTCCTTTACCTGATCTGAAGTATGATTCTCTCACATTCGTCCGCAACGTAGGTGAGAACTGCTCTTTTTTTTTTTTAATAATAATTATGTATAAAAGGGACAAACTCCACCAACTTATTTTAATTTATATGAACCAAGTGATATAGGGTATTAAATAAATTTCAGACTTGGCCCATTTACAATTAACTAATTTTTTTATTGATTTAATAAATATCCACCAACTAAATAATCATAGCTAAATGAATAATTCAACATTACAAAATAAACTTCACCGACTGATTAAAAATAACTCAGGGTCAATATCGGAGGGGCAAAACATTAGTTTTTACGAAAGTCTCGAAAAATGATCAATCGGGTCATTACATTATCCACCACTAAAACCCATTTTCATCCTCGAAAATAAAGCAAAAGAAAGTACATGAGGCCTCGAAAAGCTGAGGATATCCGACACGCATATCTGACTCTGTCTCCAAAGTTGCCTCACCAATTGAATGTTGCTTCCATTGCACCTTCACTGAAGTAATCTCCTTGGTCCTAAGCTTTCAAACCTGCATATCCAAGATGGATATAGTCTCCTCCTCAAAAAACAAGTATGGGGCCAAAACAACTTAATCAAGAGAAAGTACATGAAACTCACTCAATACGTAATTCTAAAGCATGGAGACATGAAACACATGATGCACAACTGACAAGCTAGGCAGCAAGGACAACTTATAGGTCACCTCTCCCACTCGGCTCAAAATCTCAAAAGGTTTAATGAATCTAGGGATAAGTTTGTCCTTCTTTCCAAACCTCATCACACCCTTTATGGTTGATACTCAGATCCAAACATGATCACCCTCCATAAACTCTAGGGCTCAGACTCTCTCTGTATGCATAACTCTTGTGTTGACTCTGGGCTATCTGTATCTAAAGAGTCCATCTCAGTCGAATCGAACCAATCGATAAGAGATCTACAACGTCTGTCATAGAACGCCTCAAATTGGGCCATTTGGATAGTGGAATGATAATTGTTGTTGTAGGCAAAATAGGCTAAAGGAAAATGTTAATCCCCTCTAGCAACGATATCAATCACACAAGCTCAGAGTATGTCCTCCCGCACCTAAATCGTCCACTCAGACTGACCATCTATTTGAGGGTAGAAATCTGTACTCATATCTAATCTAGTACCCAAATCATGTTGTAAGGCCTTCCAGAAAATGGGAAGTGGACAAAGAACCTCGAACATAGATAATGAAACTAGGGACTTCATGTAGTTACACAATCTGACTAATATAAAGCTGGGCCAACTTCTTTGTCATACACTTCACTTGAACTGGAATGAAATGAGCAGTGGTCAGCCTATCAACAACTACCCAAATACAATCATAACCATCCAGAGTGGTAGGTAGACCTACAACAAAATCCATAGTGATGTGTTTCCACTTTCAAGCAGGAATAGACATCCTCTGAGATATACCTCCAAGACGCTGGTGCTCACATTTGACTTGTTGGAAAGTCAAGCACCTTGAAACAAAATTAGCAAAATCTCTCTTTATGTCATACAACCAGTAATGCAGACTCAAATCATGATATATCTTCACCGCCACCAAATGGATGGAATATCAAGAACAATGGGCCTCCTCAAGAATCAATCAAATTAATTCACCCATCTTAGGCAGACAGATCCGACCTCCAATCATTAAGACACCATCAGAATCAAAGACAACTTCCTTGGTTCCCCTTCTCATCACCTTGTCCCTAATGAGACACAACTTCTCATCTTAAACTGACACTCACAGATCTGCTCAACTAAGGAAGACTAGGTCTCTATGAAAGCAATTAAACCCTCTCCCCCCACTCTCTTTAGAAATCTGTAACAGGAAAAACCTATTGGCTAACCTCTACACATCTCTAGCCAATTGCCACTCCTCCATGCTTATAGTGGAAATACTTCCCATACGAGAAGTCTTTCTACTAAAAGAATTGGCCATCACATTGGCCTTCCCCAAATGATACGAGATAATGATGTTCTCTTCAGTAACTCAAGTCATCTGCGTTGCCTCAAGTTCAGATCCCTCTAACTGAAGATGTACTGAAGACTCCAATGATCCGTGAAGACCTCACAATTCACCCTATACAGATAATGCCGCAATAGCTTAAGCACAAACACTGTCGCTGCCTACTCTAAATCATGAGTAGGGTAGATCTTCTCATGGGTCTCAACTGTCTAGAAGTATATGCAAACACCTTACTTTCATACATCAGAACACCACCTAATCCAACCCAAAATCATCATAATAAACGGTGAAGTCTAGACCCTCCTCGGGTAAAGTCAAAACAGGGGTCAAAGTCAACAATGTATTGAGCTTTTGGAAGCTCTCCTCACACTCATCAGACCACTGAAAGCTCACACCCTGGCCAGTCAATTTGGTTAATGGAGATGCAATAGTAGAGAAGCTTTGCACAAATTGTTTATAATATCCTATAAGTCCTTCAAAGCTTCGAATCTCAGTAACTGAAGTAGGCCTGGTCCAACCTTTAACTGCCTCAATATTGGCTAGATCTACCTGATTACCCTCTTTTGACACCACATGTCCCATAAATGCAATGGAATCAAGACAAAACTCACACTTTGAGAACTTGTCATATAACTTTTCTTCTCTCAATCTCTGGAGCATAGTCCTCAAGTGCCAATCATGATCCTTCTAAATCTTGGAGTACACCAAGATGTCATCAATGAACACTATCACAAAGGAATCCAAATACAATCGAAACACCCATTCATCAACTACATGAACGTTGCAGGGGTGTTACTCAAATTGAAAGACATCACAAGAAACTCATAGAGCCCATAATGAGTCCTGAGAGTAGTCTCAAGGATATCCGATGCCCTAATCTACAATTGATGATAACCAGACCTCAAATCAATCTTAGAAAACAATGATGCCCCTGGACCTGATCAAATAAGTCATTAATACGAGGAAGAGGATATTTGTTCTTTACTGTCACTTTGTTCAACTATCGATAATCAATACACATTCTCATGGTTCTATCCTTACTTTTCACAAACAACGTAGGAGTACTCCATAGATAAACACTAGGGCGAATGAACCCTTTAGTCAAAAAATCCTCCAACTGATCTTTCAATTCCTTCACCTCTGTTGGAGCCATGAGATAAGGATAAATAGAAATGGGCTTGGTGCTTGCTCCAAGTGCAAAATCAATATCCCTATCCGAAGGAACACCTGGATGATCTGTAGGAAAGACATCTACAAACTATCAAACCACATAATCCATGGGAGGTGGCTCAATACTAATATCCCGAATACACGTCAAGTAGGAAAAACACCCTATATCAACCAATCTCTGAGCTCGAATGAAGGAGATAATTTTTCTAAGATAACAACAACTATCACCCGTCCACTCAACTATTGGAACACCTGGCATTGCTAAGGTCACAGTCTTAACATAACAATCAAGAATACCATGATGCGTAATGTAATGACCCTTCTGGTGATTTTTGTGTTTTGCCATCTGTGTGTCATTTAGAGCGTTCCTGTAGCGACCCCTTCTCATTTATGAACTGGGACTGATAGCTCGGTCACCTGGTCGTTCGTTTAGCTTTTGTGCGAGTTTTAGTGTTTTTGGAGCTTATGAACCTTGAACGATCATTTTCGATCAAAAGTTCAAGAAGATGACATCAGAATCCAATTCTAGCGATTGCATCAACTCTAGAAGGGTCAGTTTAGGCTAGTAGCATGGTCGGCATAACTCCTGAGGTTTATAGTGTGAGTCGGTGCGATTAGGCGTTTTAACTTTAAGTTTAAGCCTAAGTTTGACTTTAGTCAACATTCTGAGTAAACACGCTCGGATGAGAATTTCGTCAGTGCGGTTAGCTCCAGAATGTCGAGTTTGGTCTAGATTGACCCTTCTTTTGTGTCCCGAGGTTTTTGATATTTTTCTGAGCCCTTTTGTGGTTTTTGACTTAAAATGACACTTGGGTGTGAGACCCACTTTTTACCAAGATGACCTCGTATGGAAATTTTGACTGCGCCATTGAGTCCAGAATATCAAATTTGGTATGGTTGCATATCTCGTTTGTGTGCACGGGGTTCCGAACGAGTTCGGAGCACCCCATCGGAGTTTTTATGTTTTGGAAAAAAATTGCAGAAATATCTGCTATAAATGCAGATATATCAGCCAACTTTTCCAAACTTAAAACCCTCATCTCTCTCTCATCTCTCAACCGATTTAGGTGATTTGAAGTGCGTGAGCTTCGTATTCTCGGTGGCTTCGCTGTAGAGTGTTCGGAAGTTGTTAGGTGCACGTAGTTCAAGGTAATTTCGTGATTAACCTGACTGCTGTACTCTTTTTCGAGACTTTATTTTTGGCATTCTTGTTTTGGTCATATCTCACTCATTTTAGCTCGGTTTTGGGTGATTCGAAGTCCCACATATTGGGAATTATCGTGGCTACCTCGTAGAGTGTTCAAGGAGGGCCGGAAACTTTTTGATTCTCGTTAATTCTGAGTTTAGACTGCTGTTGTTTTCTTTTAAGTTGATTAGAGTGTGATTTTCTTGCTTGTTGGTTTTTACTGTGTTTTGTGCCTTGAATTGTGTTCCATATTGGAACAAAAGTTCGGGATGTTGTTTAGTGTCTCTTGACGGAGTCAATTTCAGACAGTTTGGTGCGGATCCCACGATTTTCGTTGTCACTCCAAAATTGACCCGTCTCCGTTTGTTGTGATTTTGGTGTCTAAACGACCGTACTAACATTGTGATCCTATATTTGATAGAGTGACAACATTTAAGGGTCGTTTGGGAAGGACAAGCTCCGATAAAGTGATTTGGAGCGCGCGCGGTAAGCCTTAAGGTAGGCTACGACTTCCTTTCTTTTAGATTGAGCTTAATTGTGTAAAAGCTTGTTGATTAGAGTGAATTGGGGGTGGGTACCAGTTTACTACCTTACTTTGATTAGATACCTCATGTTAGGATCGATTGGCCATATTCGGGTGTAGTATCATGTTAACCGATTTAGTAGAGTTGCATGCTTATGTGCTAAATGCTATTGTATGCTTGTATGCTATGTGTTGCATGCCTTGTTCATCCTTAACCATAAGCATGATGCCCTTAGTCTAGGTTAGGCTAGCATTGCCTTAGACTTATGACCTGTGTGGGCTGGATAGCCTTGACTTTTTGCCGACGTCGTTCGGATGACTTAGCTCCTTGTAGAATGGAGTAGAAGACTTGAGTCTGATAGTTTGAGCCTTAGATTAGGCGTTATCGCTGCTTATTGTACTTACGTATCTTCTTCCTCTCATTCTGTGGTTCCGACGCATTCTCGAAGGTTCGGTGCATCACTAGAGGCGTGGAATTGAGATAGTATAGGCTTGGAGCCTTTTATGTGATTCTTAGAGTGGACAGTGATCCACAGTGGTTGTTGTTGGATTGGATCCTATTGGAGATACCATCACCCCCGGGGTCATTCTTTCTAGCTGGGCTGGGTAGACTCGGTGATATCAACGATCGCCCGCGGACCTCTCTTTCTAGCTGGGCTGAGAGTGTGCTGCTGGCTTGGTGTCTCCAGGTTGCTCTTTCTAGCTGGGCTGGGAGCTGACTGCATGGTAGGACGACTCGCGATATCTACCTCACTCACGAGTCCCTCTTTCTAGCTGGGCTGGGAGTGGACTGTTTGGTTGGGTGCCACCTGGGGTCACTCTTTCTAGTTGGGCTGGGAGTGCACTACTGACTGGGTGGAGTCTGATGGATTATCTTAGTTACTTTGGGCTGGGAGCCCGATTTTCTTCTTTCTTAGTAGACTTAGCTTTTCTGTGTACCTGTCGGGCTTATGGGGGTCCGTTCAGGTTTTATTTGAACTTGCGCACGAGTATACCTTCTGGGCTTATGGGGGTCCAGTTAGGTTTAGTTTAGTTGTACTTAGTTTATTTATGGTATGCTCATATGCTTTCTTTTCGTATCCGCTTTGACCTCTCTGTGTCTAGATTCTATCCTTTCATATTGTTTTTACCCTTTTTGCTCAGTCGGCCTATGATACCTACTGAGTACCTGTTGTGTTGGTACTCATGCTACGCTCTGCATCTATTTCGTGATGCAGGTCCCAGTACCAGTTATCAACGGTGAGTAGTTCCAGCCTTCTTTTGCTGTTGTGACTCGGAGACGAGGGCGAGCACTTGGCGTTTTGGGTTTGTTCTTCCTCTTTCTTTTGGTTTAGCTAGTCTTGTTGATTTTGAGACACGCTCTGTTGTGGTCCACTTTTGGAACTTGTACTCTTTATTAGATAGCTTTGTACTAGTGACTTCCAGGTTCTGGGAGGGATTTCTGTATATATTTATTTTGGTTTGCTTTCGCCTTGTTGTCCTTGTTTAGTTTATTGTTTCCACTAGTTTCTACCCTTACACTCATTGCTTGATGTTCTGGGTTTCAGGTTGGCTTACCTACTGGTAGGGTATAGTAGGTGCTATCATGATTCGAGAAATCAGGTTGTGACACGTAAAGAGCCAATCCATACCCCAGATGATATCAAAGTCACCCATACCCAAAATGATCAAGTCTACCCAAGGATCATATCCAGCTAAAGAAACAAGACATGATCAATACACTTGATCCACCACTAAAGACTCACCCACTTGTGTAGAAACATAAATAAGCACATGTATTCTATCATACATCATATCAAATATGGTAGAAAAATAGGTCTACATACAAGAAAGTAGACACCAAATAAAATAAATAGACGCATATCAATGTCAAACTGGGACAATACATGTAATCACAATATTCGGAGAATTGACCTCAAGCCTCTCCGAAAATGCATAACATTATCCCTCTCGACCACCACTAGTCTGAGTAGAACCTCAACCTTTGCTTTGTAGAGTTGTAGCACCCCTACTAGAAGCCCTACCTCCTCTATCAAATTGACCTCTGCCTTGAACCACCTGGATGGAGGCGTTAGATTTATAGCTAGAGAAGCTGAATATGTACGTTGGGATCCTGAAGGAGTTTGCAAAGGACACTGGCAAACTAGATGTCCTGGATCCCATACCCATTACAAGACCTCGACACATATAACTACAGTTACGAACCACATGAGCTACCATGGCCACCTTGGCAAGAACCATAGGATCCTTGAGATACCTACCTACTCTCAGTTACTGGAAAAGATTCATGAACAGGTCCCCGACATTGAAAGAAAATTCTACCTCTATGTGAACCCCTTCATCCAGATGAGGCACCAGAAAATTGACTAGAAAATCGGTCCCTCTAGGGGTCCCTAAAATCCTCCCAAACTATCAACTACACCTCTTAGGCGGTACTCACAATGGACTGAAAGGAATCCCCCTCTTTGGCTGCTCTAAGCACATATGACCTGATGCAGACTCTCTTCCTCATCTAGAACCAAAGTCATGGTGTTCCTGGATAGCTCACAAAAATGAGTCTCATACTCAATTACATACAAACTACCCTTAGTCAATCTCTCAAACTTCAATAGAATCTCCTCTCTCACTCTCTAAGGGATGGAACAGTCTTGGAAAGCATTGGAGAACGTATCCCACTCTGCCGGAAGAGATCCAACTCTGCCAGAGGAGATCCAACTGGTCTAGACCTCACATAAATCCTCCACCAATCTCTGGTGGGTCCATAAAGCTGAAGAGAAATAA